CTGCTGATGAAAAGTGACAGTGTATGAGAGATACTTGTAAGACAGTAATTGGAATGCGAAGGTTTCAATTTGAAACCTTCTTGAAAATTTGGTGTCTTCTCTGCAGTTGTGTTCTTTTCTCTGGCCTTTTACAAGGCAATCCCAGTGTGCTCTCCTCTGAGATTAGCTCTGTGCTCTCCTGTGTGCATCAGGGCCTTCGACTTTTTCTGTTTGGGTTATAGCTCTCCAAATGTGTGTGGTGCCTTGGCAATGTGGTGCTATGTTGTTTCTAAAAAGCAGAGATTGTAAATATATGATGAGAAACAATGCCAGTCTAGCGGCAGAGGGATCTGCCCCGTGCAGACCCATATGGAGCAGCCCAGTTTCAGGAGTCTGTGATAAACTGGAGATCTAAACTGGAATCACAGGCTGCCCCCTTCCTACTGAAGGGACGTTTCCTGAAGTAGGGTTTTCTTCCTTGTGCCTTATCCTTCTGATTACTTTGTTTCTTTAGCCAGTGTTTCTGTTCTGCTTTCTAGGTTTCCAGCAGGTTTCTCTGTTGTCTTCCTATGAAGTTATAATCCCGCAGAGGTTAGGAAGAGAACGGCGAGAGGCTTCCAATGTCTCCTCAGTACAGGTACTGGGCAGTCTTACAAATGCCTTCAGTTTAGTATCTGCTTTCTAATGAGGTCCACCCACAACTGACCTGAAATTCTCACAAAACACTATTGAACTCATCTAGCAGCAAGCAATTGTCCATCCTTACAAAAGGTATTACATCTAGTATTGTCTTTAGCTGAGTTATGGTGAATATCTCCCTGTTCCAGAGGTTACAAGTTGTCACAATGGATTTTTTTGATCTGGGTATAAAAGTTGCATAATGAGAATTGTTAGGCACTGGAACAAGTTTCAGAGAGGTAGTGGAATCATTATCCTGGGAGATGGTCAGAATCTGACCTGAGGAGGCCCTGTGCCACCTGGGCCAACTCTGTAGCTGGCCCTACTTTGAGCAGGGCATGGGATTAGACAACCTCCAGCGGTACATTCCAGCCTATATTATTCTGCTGTAGCCACCTAACTAAAGACTGCACACTTGAAAGTATTCGGATTAGACTAACTGTGTTTAGTCACAAATCTTACAAACATTGGCAGAATTTAATATTAACAACAATGCCTTGCAGTTTTTTGCAGCCGTTGACTAGTACTCCTGCTGTGATATTTAATATAGTGGTCAGGCGATTCAACTTACCTACTTAATATTTAAGGACCCTAGTTGCTGTGTGTAGCACTTGGCTAACACAAGGCTGTGGAGGTACTGGCTCACAGTGAATTTTCAGTAATAAAACTGTATTGTCCTTTTCCAGTTGTAACTAAGAGGTTTTTCTGTGGAAGTCTTAGAAACAAGGAATAAGAAAACCACAAAGCTGTTTTGAAATAGCTTCCTTCATGTGACTTTTCCCCAGCTACACGGGAAGGGGTACCAGGTTCTGGAGGTAGGGACAATTATAAAATAGGTTTCAGGATCACCCATGCATGGTTATTCCTGGTCTGGTGCAACTAGCAAGATTTGAGAAAAAAAGTTTATTAGCTTAGTATCTGGCAATTTCACTGTGTGGAAGTGGCAGTCATTTTGTCTGCTGGATGTCAAGGAACCAGAGCAAATCCTGATGGCTGTGGTCAGCTGCTGCTTGCTAAGTCTTGCGGGCTCAGGAAAGTCGGCTCGGAGCACAAGGAACACCCGCTCCCCTGACCAGCGCTGGAGTACCAGCAAGAAGCATGGTGGGAGAAGCAACTCAGATTGACAGAGTTGTGCATCCCTCTAGGAGGTGGTTTAAATTTTGTTGGTGTTGGCTGCATCTCCAGCAACTACAGCTATATCTAAAAAGGCTCACGGTACAGACTAGTCCTGAGTTATGGAAGGTGACAGTAGTGCTTTGAATGCCATAGTCTGTTTGTGCAGAGACTGTTTTCTGCCAAACTTTTGTTGATTTCAGAGAACGTTTTATTCGTGAACATGAGTAAAATGCAACTTGTTTTTTTATATTCAGGACAAGGTGTCTTATGCTATTGAGATAGAAGGAAAAGAATACACAATTCATCTAGAAAAAAACAAGTAAGTGATGAATTTCGTTAGGTTATTAAATTCTGTCTTTTTGTGTCCAAATAATAAGCTGACAGGTAGTGTGCGAGTTCCGATTCTTGAGATCCTTTATGAAGAGTGCAGTTACATGCTAGCTCTGCAAAATCGGCAGAGAAAGAGGGCGAAAGTGGACTGAGTCACACAGTCTCGGCTATCAGCCAGAAATTTTGAACTCCTGCAACCCTGGTGATCCCCTTTCAGTGAAGGAAGCAGTAGTTTGCTCAAAGAGGGTCTGGGGAATCGTTGAAACGACTCTCTCCCTTCACATCTAAAAATAAACAAACTGAACAGTATGTCAAGTAAATATTTTCACTTTCTTCTGGGTTTTGTTTATTGCTTCAGGGTTTTTTTTCCTGTCTCTGTAGCGCAAGAATACTAATAAATGAGGAAGCTGACTTTATATCCAAGGCCTTAATACCCATAACTTACAGACAATATAGATGTTGTCTGTCTTGTGTTTAATTTTTAAAAAGGCTACTTGCAGCAACAGCAAGCTACCATTTATCAGGCTATTGCTTCTTATAACTGACCTCACAATAGACATAAGAAACATAACTATTTAAATCCCCTGGGGATCTCTAGCTGCCAGTTGCCAAGCCCCTGACCCTTGAAAACATGGGAATTCAGCTACGCCGCATCAATGGATTTACCAGGGTGGGTCAGCAGTCTTAATCGTGGGAGACTTTCCCAATGCACTTCCTTCTGAAGCTGGGGAAGAGAAGTCTCACGCAGCAGACTGAGTGCTATGATTTTTTTAATTTTTTTTTCTGCATGAAAATAAGTTTTTGGCATAACTTGATGGGTTTTGATGCTTGTTTTACTTATATGGGGTGAGGTGGTTGACTTGATTTCGTTAATGGTTCCACCATTCTGATATCTTGGATTTTGTGGTAGAAATGCACAATTTCTTTGTTAATTTTGGAGGGTTTCCTTTTGAATGTTTCCTTACTTAATTACTATTTATGTATTTCTGACACTTTTGATTGGTAACCTCTTACTGCCCTGCTATAGTGTCACAGTCCTTTCATGAAATTCCTCTTGTATTCCTTTTCCCCTTTCCTTACAGAGAACTACTGCCCAAAGATTTCACAGTTTATACCTATAACAAAGAGGGAAAGTTGCAATCTGAACATCCAGATGTCCAGGTAGGATTTCTTTCTTTTTATACCCTTAGTGAAGGTGACTTGAACACTCAGCATCTGCAGGATGAAGGAGTCATGTATTACAAAATGATAGTTGTATTTTTCACTGGGCCACCTTCTAATCCTGTGCACGTGCTGCAGTCTTCCTGGAGAGAATCCTTGATTTTGGATGAGGATCTAGCCTGGAGCTTGTAATAGACCCGTATTTTCTTATGTGGAGGTGATTGCTAACTAATTAAAAGCTACTCTTCTCTAAAAAGCAAATGCCCTTCTTAGCTGTCGAGTATCTCGTTATCTGAGATACGTCCTTGTCATACAGCACAGTGCAGTGTTGGTATTGCTTCTGGACACAGGCCTTGCTTCTCACAGAGACCAGAGCACACGGAGCAGAAGTGGGATGGGCTAGTGACTGAATATATAGCTTTTACTTTTACACCCAATGGTCTTCCAGATTGATCTGCAAGTCAAAACGAACGGTTGGCTGCTGACCCATCTTTTCAGTTGTGTGAGACTGTCTGTTAGTGACTCTTAAGAATTTTTGAGGGTTGACAGGTTATCTGTTAGTCCAGAAGTTTGGGAACTACTAGAAGGGATGGACAAGATCAAGAGTGGAGGACTTTTGAGAGGGATGTTATCTGCATAGCAATGGAGTTATTCCACTGAAAAAGCATTTGCAGCGCTCTCTTTCTATACAAGCAGACTGCCTGATAGGTTGCCTTTGAAAATTTAATTGCTTCAATAGAATAAGAATAGAAAGCATCTTCTGTGATACAAAAAGCATGAGAATATTTCTAATGGCTTTGCTCTTCTTACGTATCAACACTGTTCCTTTGAAAGAGAAGTGTTGGTCATACGTGATTCATAGGATCTTGTTTTTGAAAACAGAGCACCTGAATCAACTGAGTATTTACTTCCTAGTTAAAAGTGATTGACTAAGAGGTAAAATGCTTTTTCTGCATAAGGTCATGAAAGTCACAGTGACCCAGAAGGATTAGTACATGCCTTCAGTGCTTTCTACATTTGTTGCTAAAGCAACAGGCGACATAACTACCTGACTTCTAAAATAACATTAAAAAATGTGCTTGCCAGAGAAAATGGAGTGTATTTTCTCCATACTACCCCCTTGTCTAGTTTCCAAAAGTAGGTATAGACAGAGGACAAAATGGAAGTATTCTGTCTCATCAGGACTGATGAGAGATGTCCTGTGCAACCAAAAAGTTCCGGCAGTGCAGCGCCTGTTGGCGAGGATAGCAGGTTTTGGCCCTCTTCTTACTGGAGAGAGGTTACGTACAAGTCAAATGTTCTGCAGGACTGTTTTCTAGAAGACTGAAGAAGATTTGGCCCAAATCTGTAGGGAGGGGCTGGCCTGGAAATATTTGAGGCAGGGTGGAGGACAGAACTTCAGAGTGGGATGTCTTACGGTCAAGTTAAGAAATCCAGTTGCTAGATAATGCTGCTGAGCCCTGCTTGCCTGGCATTTATAACATGTTGGCAGTGCCAGCTCTGAATCCAGCTTCAGGTAGCATGACTGAGTGGGCAACTGGGATTTTAAACTGAAATCTATAATGAACTGCTGGCCCCATCGAGTTGTGAAGAGCACCTGCTTTACAGGATAGGGAGGTTGGGATCCAGTTGGAGTCCTGTGCTCTTGGCATCTTGATAAGCTTCATATATGTAAGTCCTTGTGGTACTAAGGCAGGTGAGGAAATGTTTAGATGTGTGTTAGCAAAGGAAATGCTGTTACATTATGGTAGAGCTAGAAACATGTTAGAAGCTACAGACTGTAGATAAAAGGCACGTGGCGAGTTTAACCTAAAGCATATTATGTTCTCAAGTTGTAACTAGTGCCAGTCAGTGGCAGGCATAGCAGTTACATGATCAGAGATCACACTGGGCGTGCAAATACACGTGGAGTATGTGTGTAACGTGCCCTTGTTTTCCCGTGTAGGATCACTGCCATTATCAGGGATATGTGGAGGGGACCCTGGATTCTGTGGTTGCTGTCAGCACTTGCTCGGGGCTCAGGTAGCACAACTCGTTTTTTGTGTCCCTGCTGTCATGTGAGTCTCATGGCTGGCTGAACCTGAAACAAAATTCAAGCTCTGTTTTTAACTGCTGTTCAGCCAGGCAGGGATTCATTGTCCATGGCCAAACTGCAATAGCATATGCCTTTGTGCTGTCTTTCTGTGGTATCTTTTATTCCTGTAGTTAATAGATATTTGAAATACCCTTAAATAAGTTGATGAATGCAGTTTGTTATCAGAGTACTGTAAGTTGTTCTTTGACACAAATTTGGCGTATTTTCTAATTTGCATAGATGGTCACTACAAAGAACTGTACATAGTGCAAAAATGGAAAGTCAAAGAGTCTGCAAATTTTACAAAATTGGCTCTAAAGCTTGTGCATTTCAAATTTGATCAGAATTTTTTTCTGCTTTAGGCTAATTTCTGTATGTTTTGGGACACTGATTTTTTTGCAGTGCCATGTCGGACACCAGAGTGGCAATAGTGTGTTTGAACTAAAGCATTTCTGCTTAAGGCTTGTGATTTAATTTCTGTGGCATTGCAGACTCTTAGAAAAATGCCTATTTTACTATATTTGTGAAGGCCTTATACAGTGAAAGGCCGCTTTCAGACTTGAAATGAAGCATGCTGTTTTGCAAGGACTGAGATATAGGCATGCCTTTAGTTATTGAAGAATAACTGTTCCTTTGTTTTACTGTAAAAAAACTGAGTAACTATCCTCTGTGCTTCATGCGAGAATTTCTTACACACTACCATGTTTTAGAGGTTTGGTGACAATAGGGAACATCACCTATGGGATTGAGCCCATGGATTCCTCCTCTGGCTCTAAACACATTTTATATCGATTGGATTATGTGAAGAAAGAGCCCACAATGTGTGGAGTAACCGCTGAAGATCATGAAAGGGAACATACAGAGGAAAATCACCATCCCAGTATGACCCAGTTGCTGCGAGTAAGTACTCCACTGTTTTCTCCAAAGCCCCCTATAATGGGTTTTGTGAGTGTTCAGCTAAGACTATGGAAGCAGCTTACCAGATTTCCTGGGGCTTAACACATACCTAAAGGTTTCTGATTCAGAGGGCTTTCTATGCTGCTGAAAAACTCAGTTACTTCAACAAATCAGTTGCAACTTCCTTCTGCTTCTGCACATAGCAGTGAGAGTCAAGTGGCTAGTTAGATTATTCATGGGCAGAGCTTTTTGGGGCTTTAAGGGCGGGAACACTACTCTTATTGGAGAGGCTCATTAACAAATCATTGCATGGAAGCTGGAAGAATATTGTGGTGTTTATTCCATTCTCCTAACCGTCAGAATAACAGTTTGGTGTGAAGGTCCCCCTTGTTGTTTAAGGACTGGCTATACAGGAATGAGACTGCAGTAAAAGCAGGAGTATGAAAAACATTTGTGTTTCACTTTCAGGTTGTTGGCATTTGCTTGTTAGTATCTTTCTGCTCCTTTCTAAAAGTGTATGCTGTCTTTCCAAAGAAGCCTGTGTGAAAAGTAAAAAGGTCCCTTGCTTTTGAAACACAGGAAATCTTTGTGCAGCTAAATTTTAGTTTAAAACACTTGTTTAGAAATTGTCATTGCATTGGATTACAGTTCTTGGTTTTGGCTTGTTACTGTCTTGGCACAGTGTGCTTTGGGTGTGTCTCTCAAAGCACTAGTTCTATCAAGTGAAATATGACAATGTCATGATTTTTTTTGTTTACACTTGAATTAATAAAACTGAAGTTGTCTAAAACTTTTTTCCACAGAGAAAGAGAGCGGTCCTACATCAAACAAGATATGTGGAGCTGTTCATAGTTGTGGATAAAGAAAAGGTCAAGATTGTGTTTTGCTTTCCTTTCCTTCTCCCCAGGAGATGGCTTGAAAAGCCCTCAGTCTTCGTTACTCCCAAAGGGATTGTTGAAAGACACTGAAACTATAGCCGAGGTTATGCAAATATGCTAACCTAAGTCTGAATAAACATGTTCTAGGCAGTACTCTTCAGGAAAAAAACCCGTCAGAAATGGAGAGTTTCTATCAGCAAGGAATCTAGTAATGTAAGGAAAACACATGGCAAAAACTGCCTTTGCTGTTTCTCTTGAATATTGAGCTGTTGAGCAGTAGCAATGAAGATACTGCTGTCTTGATTACCATCTTCTTGACAGGAGATTTGAAGCCAGGCAAAAATGTTTTTCATGTTACTAGTCTTAAAATGTTTTGTTCCTTTTTCTAACTCTTGTCTTTATCTCTTCTCTTCATGACTAAGTTTCTTTGTCTTGCAGTTTGAAGATTTTGGGAAGAGTGAAACAGAAGTAAGAGAACACATGGTGCAACTGGCAAACTTCCTTGACAGTGTAAGTTACAGCTACACCGAATGTAAGTGGGAATGATGCTGTGTGCAGCAGCCGTGCAGCTCTGTTTATTTTTGTAAAGAGTCTGTCCTTATACCACTTTAGTGAGAATAAAATTAAGGTTTTTATCAAACCAGGAGCTAAACCTGTTCCCTTAGCTGTGATGTTGAAGACTGATAGAACTCCGAGTCATGCCTGAGCGTTGTGCTGAAGGAGTGCCAGAGGAGCAGGGGCTGCAAAGCAATGGCAGTATTTATTGACAGTGAGCTTTGGTGAATGCATTGCTAGGAAAGCTTTTCCACCTCTAAATTCATCTGCAATCATAATACTTGAGAATTAATTTAGGGAACTCTTCCAACCTGCGCTACATACAGCGAGCGACAGGACAGATTGTTGCAATTATTGCAATATTTCTGTATGTGTACAGGTTAGCGAGAAAGCGTGTCTTTCAACTTGACTGTTTCAGATGATGCTATTTGTCAGGATTGAGACTCCATTTTATTTCTCTGTTGGATTTTCTTATAGTATGGCCAGTGTGGCATTCAGGCATTGATCCTTTAGGTAATGAAGTCTAAATCACAGGGAAAATGCATTCTGGTGATTCAAGTTGTGTACTAACTTTTAAAAAAAAAAAACCCAACAAACCCAAACAAAAAAGTAGATTCTTCCAATAATATATATACCATCAGATCGCTTGTTCATATCTGATGGTCTTCCAAAATATTTCTCCTTTTTTTTTTTTTTCCTTTCCCAGATGTACATCATGTTGAACATCCGCATTGTGCTGGTTGGTCTAGAGATTTGGAAGTATGAAAACATAATTAGCACAGATGGAGGTGCTGGTGATGTGCTGGCAAATTTTGTACAGTGGCGAGAGAAGAATCTTGTTTTGCGCCGGAGACATGACAGTGCCCAGTTTGTTCTGTGAGTTGCAGTTCCTTCCCTTTGACTCTTAAGAAGCTTATTCTATTCGTGTCTACTTAGCCATACTGTAGTATCACAAGTAGCCGCTGTATTTCAGCAGAGAATCCAGTGCAATCTGCTGTGGTTTATGCACTTGTGAAAACATTCCAAGTCAACTTAAGCATTTTTCAGAAGGTTTCTGTGGTCCTTTAATTCAGCATTCCCTCTGACAGGTATATTGCTACATGTGCTGCAATGTTATATGTTGTGTTGTATAAAGCTTCCATTCAGATAATCTTTTGTCAGGTTGTGTACTGGTTAGACTTGTAATCTAGGGCTTTTTCCACTTGAAAATGAGCATAAACCTGGTGCAGAGCATTGCATTTTACTAGAGAGAAAGTCGTTTCTGCAGTTGGTATCCAGAAGCTAGCTACGTGGTTTGAACTTTGACATGTGATGTTAATCTGTCCGTCCCTACTGCCTTAAACTAGCACAGAGCTTCCTGAGCTGTCGTCTCTGCCCCGCTTCCAGGACGCGTGCCCCTTTGCACTTCCCACTCCTGCAGATAGCGCAGTCTTTAGGAAGTCACTGCCCAAAGCAGAGAAAGGGCAGAGGTGAGAGCATGTTTTGCACGGGGCAACAGCCCAGCCTGCCCTTGTGCAAAGCGGAAACTCCCCGTCCCACAGGAGCTGGGAGCCTCTTCTCCTCCGAGGCAGAACAGCACTGTTCAGGTGATGAGGGTAAAATGGCTGTAAAATACCAATTTTTAAAATTCTTTTATAGGAAGTAAAATGTGGTGTATTGTGCTGTTGCACTTGAGCTTTAAGAACTGTCTAGAAACAAAATAAGAAAGTAATGAGAAGGAAGTTGACAAGGAAAGGAATCTATGGAGTTTGGCAACAGTAGAAAGGTAGCTAACAGCCAATTAAAACAAATTGTTTTAAGGGTGGACCATTTGGCTCTTTATATTTAGAGGGAAGATGTGGAAGAGGCTGACTTTCTCTGCAAACTCTTACCTTAATTTAAAAGAACAAAAGAACCATGAATGGAAAGATAAAACTGAACTGGTACATTCATACCCACAGTCAATAGTAGTACTCCTTTGTTAGCATTGGAAAGCTGGAAAAGCAGTATTTTGTGCCCCACAAGCAGAAATGGTGTATTGAGTGGCTGTACGGATGGGCTGTACTGTTGGCAGTATCGTGTGTCTGTACAGTCAGGATGATTGCCTTTCCTTTTTCTCCTCATGACTGTAGGAAGAAGGGGTTTGGTGGCACAGCTGGAATGGCCTATGTTGGAACAGTGTGCTCCAAGAGCCACGCAGGAGGCATTAATGTGGTGAGATATCTTTAGTGATACTGTGAATGTGATCAAGATAAGAGTTTCGCACTCCAGAAGTCTTCCTGGAAGTGCAGAATCTTTAATAACAAAGTGAAAGTGGCTTAGTGGGGGTTTTTATGTGGTCCCCAACCGTTTCTGCCACTTCCATGATATCTGGATCACAACTTTTCTGTAGTCTACTGCATCCTCTGCGCAGCTTCCCCTCTCCTCAGTGTGCAGCACTCCTGAGAAAGGAACCGGATTTCTCTGCTGACATCTTAAGCCTCCCTGCCTTAGTGGGAGCTATGGATGTTCTCAAATCTGTCCTCTCCTGTCTGCTTGACCTGCAGAGTCGTGAACTCCCAAGAGCAGTGCTGGTCCACTGCCCTCTTTATATGAAATTACAGAGCACTAATGAACTGGATTGCTGATCTCGGATAACTGGCAATGACAGCAATCTTGTTTTCTTGGACTAGTGACAGAAGTACTGGAATTGGAGTTTGCATATTTAAGGAGATTTGGACCGGTGTGGAAAACTCTAGTTTTCTTCTTAATGTTGCAACTGCACTGGAAAGTAGAGTTAGGTAGTGTCCCAAATATGTTTGTCCACGGGCTTTTATTACTAAGCAAATGACATGCACTTGGTGGGAAAGCAGACACAGTTGGTCTGAGAATCCTGTTAACATAGAGACAGAATGACAGAGGTGTCTTTTTGGCACATAAGTAAACACTGACTTTCTCAGTGTAAGCTGCCTGCTGATTTTCTTCTGTTTTGCTCTTGTGCAGTTTGGAAGAATCAGTATACAGATGTTTGCATCAATTATGGCTCATGAACTGGGACATAACCTGGGGATGAACCATGATGATGAACGTGTCTGTCACTGCGGAGCAAGCAGTTGCATTATGAACTCTGGAGCATCGTAAGTAACTGACAAAAGGAAAAGCATTTTCTGAGGGTCGAAACACCCCACCCATGTGCTTAGTTTTTACAGGTTGCTTTGATCTTCAAAATACTCTTGCAGAGAATCGTGTTGCGCTTGCAGCTCATGGGGAAAGCCAATGTTACCATTGTTCTACAAACTGAGGGAATGCTTGTGGGTTGGCTTAGACTAAAGATAGGATAAGAACTCATGTTCTCTGTTGCAGGGGATCGAGGAACTTCAGCAGCTGCAGTGCAGAAGACTTTGAGAAGCTCACTCTCAACAAAGGTGGAAGTTGCCTGCTCAACGTTCCCAAGCCTGATGAAACCTATAGTGTCCCATACTGTGGGAACAAGCTGGTAGATGCTGGGGAGGAGTGTGACTGTGGTTCACCAAAGGTTAGTAGCTTGTGTGTTTTACAAACCCTGCCGAGGTAGCCTTGCGTGCCCCTGACTGGAGAGGGGACAGTGCATGGTGGAGGGTACGATTTCTTGACATTCACACACTTCTGTTTTCAGGAATGTGAAAGCGATCCTTGCTGTGAACCAGGTACTTGCAGACTCCGATCCGGTGCTGAATGTGCTTATGGTGACTGCTGTAAAAACTGCCAGGTAAGATACTGAAACATACTATTTGGAAGTGTTCTTCAGTGGCTGGGAAAAGGAGAGTGTTGGCCTAGCCAGTGCATCTGTGAGAGCGAATTGTCATGTATGTACAGAGCATCCACCGAGGGCTTCGGATCAATGCCCTTTTTTGGGAGGCATATTTTGGGTCAGGTGCAGTGTTCGTCTCTGCTGTAAGGTTTCTGTTTTCTGATGCAGTTTCCTCGTCCCCTCTCTCTTTAGCTCCTTCCTGGAGGAACCGAGTGTCGGGCGAGTAACAACGAGTGTGACCTTCCAGAGTACTGCAACGGCACATCCCAGTTCTGCCAGCCGGACTTCACCGTTCAGAACGGTCACCCGTGCCACAACGAGGAAGCCTACTGTTACAATGGCATTTGCCAGTACTACGATGCGCAGTGTCAGGATATCTTTGGCTCAAGTAAGGAAGAGCACGGTGTTACCATTTTTCTAGGAGATGTAGCTAAAAGACTACACTAAGTTTATTTAAAATATATTTGCTTGTTTTCCTGTAACAAAGGTCACCTGGCTTTGGTGAAGGATTTGAAATAGTGGTATATTTATGGCTTAGCCTTCAGACGTTCTTCCTTTTGTTATGTTTAATGCTGTGCTGGTGATTCAAGTAGTGATTTTCTTGCACTGATCATTCCTATTACAGTGGGGATTCTGGTGTATAGGGCTGTAAAGAAACCATGAAGAAATACCAAATGGTATCATTGACTCAATGTTAAGTGTCTATTTTTCTCTCTCTTTTTAAACTTGGAGCCTTGTAGTGCTGACATTTTCACCTCTTTTGTTTTGATCAAGTTCTTAAGCTCTCTGTGCTGCATGGAAGATAGTAGATGTAGCAGGATAATTGCTCTGGGTAAAGGAGACATGATGGTATGAGATGTTTGTGTCCCTATTTAACTTGGTTCCTCTGTCTGGGGAATGGGCTGTTGTTTGCAGAAGCCAAAGCAGCCCCCAACATTTGTTTTGCTGAAGTGAATTCCAAGGGTGACAGATTTGGCAACTGTGGTTTCCATGGCCATGACTACAAGAAATGTTCCAGCTGGTGAGTTGAGCCCAGTGCATCAACAAGTTCCGAAATGTATCATCGAGAATCCTTATTTGGGTGCTGTTGTATTAGTTTGGGGTGTTTTGGCAGGTGCACTGGAGAGAGACGTGTTATGCCATAATCTAACCTTATTGATACATATGCATCATTTTGAAAACACAGTAAGATAGCTTAGATGAGATGTGTTTTTATCCTAATTTCTGAAGCTGTTATTGGCATTTAAAGCCCCCACCCTTATGCAGTTTTAAGTTTTGTTGAGTTTTTGTTTTAGATCGTCCGACTTTAATTTTTGCACATGGTAGTTGAAATGAGTTTGAATGTTCAGGCAGTTCTTCCGTAGCTGGGTTTGAAGCTTTTGTGCTCATGCTGCAGTTTCCCGTGTGTGCGGTGTTCTGTGGCCTCAGGAGGTCTGTACGTCACGTTCAGACGTGGGGCTATGGCAAGGGGAGGTGTGTCCCACATCTCCCATCCTTGTTTGTTCTTACCCTAGGGTGTTCACATACAGAAGAACGAGTAGCAAATCATCATGTTTTCTTTAATGTAAAGATCCCAAGAGCTTACAGGAAGAAGGGATAAATCCATACTCTTGTAGCACTGAAATAAGGCCCAACTCAATTTTGTTTGGCGAGTTGCCTCAATTTTGTTTTCAAGTAGTGTCTTCCAGTAGAAAGGAAAGATCATATCAAATGTGTGATAGTCTTTTTCTCAGAATAAATTCAAGTGTCACTACAGTATTCATATGTTGATGTTGTAGGAATGCCATGTGTGGGAAGCTGCAATGTGAAAATGTGAAAACTATGCCTGTTTTTGGGATTAAGCCTGCTATTATCCAAACTCCCATTAGAGACACCACATGCTGGGGTGTAGATTTCCAGCTAGGTTCTGATGTCCCAGACCCGGGAATGGTGAATGAAGGCACCAAATGTGATAATGGAAAGGTAATTAACAATTAAAAAGTGATTTTTTTTTTTTAAGTAATAATTTAGGAGTTTCATGTGAATAAAAACTTAAGCTACATTGTTTCATGAATATTTATGGCCATTAATTTCTTTGGTGCTTGTAGTTAATGCAAAACTGAGTGAGTCCATTGATTCCCCACACTGCCTAGTACTGCACTGTATGTGCATTAAAAAATGTAATGAGCCTTTCATTTATAGATGAAGCAAAAGAAATTAAGTTTGTTGAGAGCCAGAATCTTTGCTCTGTCAATGAGCAGGAAGAGCTGGGCACACACAAATGTCTTTAAGACAACTTTCAATTAAAATCTGACTAAACTAGAAAGCCTAGAAGCCTAGCCCCAGCAGAGGAATGTGCATTCCACATATCCTTACTGTGCACAATTTAATTGCTATTCCTTTACGTTTAGACTATAGAGACAAAAGACTTCCAGTGACAGTTCAGACCCCATACAGGGAGGCCTTTTGTAGAACAGACATGTTTCTGTGGAGTTGGGGTTTATCAAGTAAGAGTATGAGACTTGCTTTGTGGTCAGCGAGCACAGAGAGGCTGTGGAGCAGACAGCCGGGGGAACACAGGAGGGGGAAGAAGGGGTAGGTCAGTGAAATGCCATCATGCTTCATTTGTGTGCATCTCTCTCTGTTCCCCTAGATCTGCAGGCACTTCCAGTGTGTGAGTGCCTCTGTTCTGAACTATGACTGTGATGTGGAGAGGCAGTGTCATGGACATGGGGTAAGTAGAGCAAGAGTCTCCGCTCCTGCTTGATAGTCCACATACAGCGAACGCTAAGCCTGTAAGTTTTACTATAACTGGCTGTATTTCTGTGTGAGGTCCTGTGACATCTTTTTTGCGAGAAGATTAGGTTCTTAGAGCCAATGACCGTGCAAATATATAAACAGACTTTTTTAATGAAAGGTCCTAGTTTGAGCCAGGCACACTGTAATTGTGCTTAATCAATAGTGTCTATATACTATACCATTCATGAGAAAAATGCCTTTGACAGTGAGCAAAAATTGGACTGAAGTTCTGTAAGTTGAACAAGTTTTAAAATGGTGGATAGTAACTTAATTTTTCTATTTTGTTTAACTCTATAAAATGTCTCTGGGCAAGAGAGCCCATAACAGTATCAAAAAAATCTTTGACAAAAGTTCTTAAGTTGGTATTTTTTGCCAGGCAAGAAGAATTCCCAATTCCAGTGTTACTAATGTAATTTGAAAATCTACATCTCACACACACAAAAAAAAAAAAGCAAAGCCATGGTCTTTAAGCCGTCTGGATGGCTAATCTTGGAAGCTTGTCCTGAACAATGCTATGCTTGCTCAGTCATGTGAAATCTTGAGACGGCTGGCCAAGGACTGTTTAGAGTTGACATGGAAGTTATGGGTTAGTTCTCCAGGCTGAGTGATATGGAAAGGACAGAATAGACGGTCATGGCTACTGCGTGCTGCTTTTAAATATATGGAAACTTTAAGTTACTAAGTAGGCCTTATTGTGATGTTTGTGTGGTTTAAATACAGGTGTGCAATAACAACAGGAACTGTCACTGTGAAGCAGGCTGGGCCCCTCCTTACTGTGACACTAAAGGCTATGGAGGAAGTCTGGACAGTGGACCTCCTTATAATGGCAAGTAGTTATAAGGCAACTCCAGAGTTGTGGGCCTGTCCTGCTGGTGGTGCTGGGCTGAGTGCAGAGTGTCACATTGCTCTGAAGCAGCTAACTTCTGGTAGCTGAAGTTTTGGTGGTTGGCTCTTCACTAGGTTTCATTTACAAACTATTCTAGTTAAGGTTTTGGGCTTGAGGTGCCAACAACATCCTGGCTTGTATCAGCAATGGTGTGGCCAGCAGGACCAGGGCAGTGATCGTCCCCCTGTACTGGGCACGGGTGACGCTGCACCTTGAGTGCTGTGTTCAGTTCTGGGCCCCTCACCACAAGAAAGACCTTGAGGTGCTGGAGCGAGTCCAGAGAAGGGCAGTGAAGGTTGTGAAGGGTCTGGAGCACAAGTCTGATGGGGAGCGGCTGAGGGAGCTGGGGGGGTTTGGCCTGGAGAAGAGGAGGCTGAGGGGAGACCTGATCGCTCCTTACAACGACCTGAAAGGAGGGTGTAGCCAGGTGGGGGTCGGTCTCTTCTCCCAAATAACAATCAATTGGACGGGAGGAAATGGCCTCAAGTTGCGCCACGGGAGGTCTAGATTGGATATTACGAAGAATTTCTTCACTGAAAGGGTTGTCAAGCGCTGGAACAGGCTGCCCAGGGAAGTGGTGGAGTCCCCATCCCTGGAGGTATTTAAATGACATCTAGGTGTGTGTTTAGGGGACATGGTTTAGTGGTGGACTTGGCCGTGCTAGGTTAATGGTTGGACTCGATGATCTTAAAGGTCTTTTCCAACCTAAACGATCCTATGATTCTAAGGTGTTGCACTTCTCTCTTTTGGGATGCTGGGGATCTGTAAAGAAACTGGGCTGGTTTAAGTGCCTTCAGGTGATTTCTGCTGTCTTGGACTGAGATCCTCTTGGACTTCTCTGTATCCAAGCTGGGAACTGAAGCCCCTTCCATTCTTAGATCCAAACAAAACATGAAATTTGGCCGAGGATGTGGATTCAAATCCATGGATGTGAATCTGCATCTCCATAAGGACATGCTGCTCCTAGCCATGGCAGCAGAGATGAGTAGCTGCCCTGTTCTGGTATCTGCAGGTAGTTGCATGTGCACCTGCAGTGCAGTCAGGACTAACATCTGGCTGAGGTGGGCTAAGGCAATGCATGTTGACAAGTCACTATTTTATTAATATTTATTATTTGAGTGCAGACAGCGTGCTTTGTTTGGTAGTAAATACAAACATAGTCACTGCCCCAAACAGCTTAGGGGCTAGAAGAGAGATACGCGATAAAGAAATGGGGCAAATCAGAGGTTTGTTACGCTGTATTGTTTGCAGACTTCCAGTTTGCGCCTTTTTTTTTATGTGGAAGGAAAAGATGGGCTGAGGAGGGAATTTTGTGGGTTTTTGCCCTGTAGTTTTTCCCCCAGGGAAGGTACGAGATCAGTTTTTGACTGGCAAGATGATTTATCTATGTTTGAATGTGAAGAGTGGGAAAACAGCGCTTGGGGCAGGGGAGCACAATTCATGCACATGAGAAAGCAAACTGAAAGAGTCTGTGAAGCTTACTTTTCTCACTGACAGTTTGAAGATGAACTAGGAAGCCAAATCCAAGCTATAGTTTGGAGAAAACTTGTGCAATGCCCGTGTGGAGTATATAAAGATGGGATTGGTGTAGTCCCTTCTATAAGCTGCAAGAGTGATCTTGAAGATTGTTCTTCATAAGATGGTATGGGTTTTGGGGGAAGCTAGATACTATGTTGATGCAATAGCAGACTGGAGAATCGTGTTGGAGCATGGACTGATGCCTCAAATCATCAGGCAAAAAAAGGGAAAGGCTTTTTTTGTACAGCCTGCAATGGAGAAATTTGCTGCATATAAAAATGTAGAGATCATTAAGAACCTGAGTTCTTTGCCTACAGCAAACAATGGTAGGAGAAGAGGAAGATTTAGAATCAGACGAAAGCGCAGAAGCTCTGTTTTCCTTTCTTTCAATTGATCTCGTAAGATCTTCACAGTAATGTAGTGGAAAAAAAATTAGGTATTGATCTAGTAATTCAATATGCTGTTACAGCCCAGGGTATCCTGGCACATACAGTTCTTTCATCTTTGACCAGACAATCCCTCTGAAAAGATAATTAGGAAGTAATGTATTTGGGCATATGTCTTGCAGTCTTACTAGATTCTTTGTTTTTTTCTTCTGTGAAAAATGGAAAATAGTTATAGAACAAATCCTACCATATATTCACTGCTACAATGACTCAAGTGGTGGTAATGCCATGTAATACTTTTTTTTTTCTTCTTCATCGTTTTATCCCCATCGGACAAAGACACTTCGCTGAGAAATGGGCTGCTGGTATTTTTTTTCCTGGTCCTTGTACTCCTTATAGCTGCTGGTCTGGCATTTGCAAAAAGAGACAGACTGAAGCGATGCTGTCGAAGATTAATGTCACGCTGCCATTCGTAAGTACCTTCTCCTTTTTACCTTCTCCTCTGCCCTTTTGAAATAGTCCATAGACATTTGTTTACACAAGCCAATGCCAAAGTATGGAGGCATGTTCCAGTCCCAAGGCGTTGAGCAAAGGCCCCTGCATCAAATGATGGAAGTAGCTTGTTCCAGGCAATGACAGAAAAGATAAATTCATCTTAAATTGAGGGAGCAAAGAACTGTCTTTTTACCATTGTTTGTTGTCGTGCATTGGTGATGGGTTTTATGTTTTTGGGTCCCATCTTTGGTGTAAAGTGGCAAAACGAAGCTGTCATGGTCCTAAACAGAAAAAAGGTTATGTTGTTTATTAGGTTTGTGGCAAATATTATCTTCCTGACATTTGATATGTGCTAAGATAGTATAAATCCACATAGTGGGTTTGAAGTGCTTGGATTCATAACCTGCACAGTTATTCTGTCAAGGTTATATGCTGACGCAGTCCATACCAACTGGATTTCAGGTCACTTCAGTCACCACCTCCTAGGACAGAAACCGAACCGAGAGACTACCACCACAGAGGCTTTTCACATGGCATGCCTTATGCTCCGAGAGGTGCACCCATGGTAGGAATGATCTACTTTTCATTACTTTATTTGTATTGTTACTTTAGAGTAACAGATGAAGGCAGTTTGTATAGTTTTTGCCCTAATAAAAGCTTCCAAGATACTTTATTTTTTCATTTCTGCAAACCAGGTTTTCTCTTTGCTAAGAGGCAAAGAGAATAATTATTTCCTAAGGTGTGTGGAGGGGAACTCTTCAGTTTCCCACAGTTTAAGCTTTTTTTACGGGCTTTACCTGTCTTGCTACCCCCTTTCCCTTACACTGGAATCTCCAGCCCCACCTGAGGAGGGGAGCAATCCCTGCCAGCTCCCCAGCACCACTCCTTTTCAGACCAGTTATCTCTCTGAATGCAATAACTAGCCAAAGCACACTTGCAGAACAAATCAAACGCTTGTCGTGATCAGCCTTTCTGTTTTTTCCAAAATGTGGTACTTTCCAGACTGCTGTTGCTTCTTTCTACTGAGTTTCTCAGAAGGAAAGAGCAACTCTGACATTTCCAGGTTTGTTTGCAAGTGGTCTTAAATGTCACTTAACTAATGAAACAAATGTTTTGATTCCCTACATGCAAATTTGTGAACGTTCTTGTTACGTTTTCTTCATAGGATATGGAACCAAATACCTTTCCTGTTCCATCTTACCCAGTTAACCAGCATCCTCAGCAGGCTTACCACCACTCTTACTACCCATCTCCGCAATACCAATCACCACAGCCACAGAAGCTGCCAACAAGGTTGGTTGAGTTATTGCAAATAACTATTGGCAGTTGCACTGATGTATATGTATTGTCATTGCCTTCATCTCTGTAAGTATTAGGGTATTTCATCACGTATTACATGCAAATAGGACTGACCTTTTATTGAAAGAAGTTTCTCCCTCATTTCACACTATGGAACTAAAGTGCTGTTACCCTAAGCATTCATTTTACACACGCTCACGGCCACATTTTGATTTCAGAATGTTTTTGTGGGGCCAGATTAGCCCTGTTGCATACAGGTGAATAAAATGCCTCTCAAAATACGCAGTTTAAGAAGAAATTACTCAAAAATATGTAATTTCGCCGATTTGTGAATGTTATTGCCAAGTTACAGGATCATTTCTCATTAATTTTGAAGAGAAAGTTTTCCTTTATTTTTCATTTGACTTTTTAATTGTATTTCATAATGCCTATGCCATAAAACGTGCATATCCAGAAAGTGCAAGGTATTGAGGAGGAGTACTTTAAAATAGCTTGTGTTGGTGGGAAAGTTGTGGGGGTCTTTTAACTATTTTGGGAAGAATGGTGCGTTAACAAACTGGGGTTCCCTGAGGATTTCAGGCAATGGAAAACAGAGTCTGACCATGATATGTTCGAAACAAGGCTTCAGCGTGGAAGCTGAGATTGCGAGAAGCAGCATAGATGGCTGGGGGGGAAATTTTGACAGTGCCCGCGGGGCCAGTGCCAGGCGAGAGGGAGAGGGACGTGCGTACAGGATATAAGTCACCTGGACTGACGACAGCTTCTCTGTCCTCTTGTAGGCCACCGCCTCCGCAACAGAAATGTGTACCTCAGGGACCTCCTCCATCACAGCAAAAACGTTTACCTCAGGGACAGTATTTTCCTTCTCGACCGGCACCTTTGCCTCCCAAATAGCTTTTTGGCTTCTTTGGGGCCTTCACCTGAGCTGACCTGTTCGCTGCATCAGAGCTGAAATTGCAGTTGCCCTTCTTGCATTGAGTGGCCCATGGTAGTCCCAGAAAGCCTTCCTTCCACAGCCTGGGATAAGGCAAATGAGATATTGAAACAAGGAATGTAAAACTTTAAACTAAATACCTCTACCAAAGCTACAGGAACTGAAAACATCTAACCCGTTCTTAGATCTGTCTGAGTATTGTGGCTTTGCAAACGGCAGCAGGGCTGTCCAGCTGGAAGTGGAGCAGCCTGCAGTTTAAATCATCTTTAAAGTACAGCACTTGGGAGTTGTTTTTGGTTCCCCATTTCTGCAGTGAGCCCTAATAATGAAATTGTCTGATTTGTTGTCGTCTTTCTAAATGTACAGTGAAGAATTGAAGTAACCCATACCATTTTCAAAATAAGGAAATCTGGCCAATTGATTTTAAATTATTTTGCATGGACTGGAAAATGTTATCCATTTACACATTAATGGCACAAGTGAAATAAGGTATCAGTGTACTTTTTCAGAGGAAGATAAATATATTGTAAACATGTTTATGCATGTATATATGTTTATTGATGTGTAATAATGCACTTAAATTCTTACTTTCATGCTGACTGACACTAAGCTGTGCTGTATAAGCACTAAGTTTAATGGTTTTAAATTAGTAACTGTGAGTTGCTAAATGAGAATCCTGTACTAATTTCCACTAATACCATGAAAGGGCAATGAAAATAAAGGTACGAAAAGACTGGCCATATTTTAGTTTTAAAAAACCAGGGTGCTCTTCGGTTTTAATTTGGGTCTGAAGATTGAGTAGCAGTCCTGCAGAACGTTGAGAAGCCAAAAAAAAAAAATGTATCTACCTAGAGCACCTGAGCTTCTCTGAGCACTTTAAACAGGAATCTGTTGACTAATTCAACCTTTTCACATAATCCTCAACCCTTTTTAGTGTCAGTCAGGATGCTTACAGGCTAACTTGCATTAGATTGGACTGCCATCTGTTTCTACACCACTGACTAAACTAGATTTTAAACCTCTTTTCTGAAAAGCAGTGTTTAGCGTTTGGTGTGCTGGCTAAACAGGAGGAGAGGAGGGATCTGTTAATGGTGATGTTGTTGTGCTGTGGGAAGAAACTGGATGCTGGTGGTCACAAATGGAAATCTGTTGCACAAACTTGCTAAAAGTGAAATAAGTACCGAAAAGAGTGCTTGGCTTTTTCACTTTGTGCTAGCCACTGAGTACAAACTCAATCTGTAAAATCCCCCATAACGTTGCCAAAAAAAAAAAATCATCTTTTCTTCTGTGTATACATATATAAATACATATATATATATATAGTGTTTGCATTTGCAGTAATAAAATACTTGAACTCCTGTGGTTTCCCATAAACTTAGACTAAGATTTATAACACTATTAAGATATGTAAAATGTCACCTAGAATATCACCAGACGTATTTGTGGAGTGTTCTGTTTGTTCCAAGATAATCACTCCTAATTTTTGTTGTATTCTACTCAGTTTGGGCTGTCTGTAACGATGAGCTTTGCAGCTGAATGAGGCAGATGTTGGCGGGAGCCTCTCCAGGCAGCTCTGGTTCGGAGGGTGGGGATGGGAGGAGAGAATCCAGGGAATGAAGTCATCCGAGAGAGACAGACGTACTTAATTGTATGTGAAGCTGTATGTATGAACTAAAACTATGCTGAAAATGGTGCCTTTTAATAGATAAAGAGTTTTTATACTTCCAGCATGCATGTTAGCAATATTTGCAGGGTGGTGGTGTAGGGCGACGAAGATGCGGTTTTTAGAAGCGATCCTATGGAAAGGAAATAGCTCAAATTTTACATGTGTTGAATACTGAAGATGACTACTGACTTTTGTTTTTTAAAGTGTACGCTTATCCCCGTCCCCCGAGTAGGTCTGGAGAAAGCGGAGGCTCTGCCCGTGTCCGACCTGCCTTTAAACCTTTGTGCTCTGCGGAACCGGCCCCCGCTCTCTGCAGTGATGCGCGTCGCTCCTGTACCGTCGGACTCTGAGGAAAGGGCTGTTACCGACCCCCTTTGTAAGAAACAAATGAGCAATAAAGATGCCGGTTTTTATACAAGGTGCTCTCTTCTGCCTCTGCTTTCCGGGGTGGGCGGGGCCGTTACGGTTACCGTTAGGCCGTTACCATTAGGCTGTTACTGGTCAGGGAGATGGGGCCGTGCTGGGGGGTGCTGCTGCTGCTGTGTGAGTCCGGGCTGGGCCCCCTCGGTCCCCCCTTGCCCTTGGGGCCACCCCACACTGCTGGGGACCGGGCTCAGCACTGTGCGGGTCTCTCTCTCCCCTCCAGGCTCACAGGTCCTGTCCCAGCTCACAGTCCCGCTGCGGCTGCCAGCAAACGCAACGAGAGAAGGGGTACAGCAGCCGGCGTGCTGCTTTGGGGGTCTCTGTGTGGGTGAGGAGGGGGATGTGGAGGAGGAGTAGGGGGGGATACAGATGTGCTGGCAGCTGTTAACGGAGGCACCACAGTGGTGCTGCCAGCACAGCAAAGGCTGTGCCTGCTCCTTGAGGAAGCACTGAGCTCTTGTGCTTGCCCACGGTGTTTGCGGTTGCCCTCCGAGCATGCTTTTCCAGAATTGCTGTTCCTAATTCTCCCTCCCTCTGCTTTTCCACACGCACAAGGACGCGGTGTCCTACGTCCTCAGGATTGAGGGGAGGCCGTACACCATTCACCTGCGGCAGCAGTAAGTTGACCCTGGCGTTGCCTCGTCTGACCACTGCTGCCCTGTTCCCCAGTCGCTGCTGGGCCGTGAGCTCTGTCCCTGCATGGGATGATGCCGGGATCATGCCCTGCTGCAGGCACTTCCCAAAGCCCACAGGGGATGCGTGTGTGTGTGTGCCATGCGCCTGAGTGTTGAGGGGTGGCAGAGGGCTGGAGGAGAGTGGGAGGGATGTTTGTGCCCATGAGCCCTGATTCCATTGAGTTCTGGCAACAGTGCAGGGTGCAGGACCTGGAATAAGCTCAAGGAACTGGGTAAGCGATACTATTTTAAGTGCTTTACTTTATGCGTTTCTTTTGCAGTGTCTTTTTATCTGATGATTTCAGGATTTACGTGTCTAATGAGAATGGATCTTTGCGCTCTGATTCAACCCATATCAAGGTAACTTTGGATTGCTCTGGCGTTTTTGTACCATGAGCATTGGCAGTGTTAGAGCTGCTCTCCGGTACATGCAGTTCAGCTGCTTGGGCAACAGCTGACGGAAGTGCCTTCATGGCCACAGAAGGGGCTCCTTGTCCTCTGTCATGATGTAGGGAGGCTGCCACTACCGGGGGTACATCGACGGTTTCCCCAGCTCGGCAGTGACTCTCAGCACCTGCTCGGGGCTCAGGTAACAAACCACCACCTCCCCGTGCTACCGTGCCCGCGGGCACTGCCGGGTCTTTGCTGCGGGCGAGGCCAGGGATGCCCCGGCAGCCTCGCTCGAAGGTGGCTAGGGCTGGGGCAGGTTCCCCGAGGTGGCTGCTGGTACCCGGTGGCAAATAAGCGGTGCTGTCACCTTGGCAGGGGCTTGCTGCAGTTTGAGAACATCAGCTACAGGATTGAGCCCCTGGGTTATTCTCCTTCCTTCGAGCACTTTGTGTATCAAGTGAGTGACGAGAAGATGGCAGGTTCCCTCTTGGCCAACAGCAACCCGAGCGAGAACGGGCTGACAGCAGAAGAGATGTGGAGCAAAACAGATGGAGATGTTGAAGTGAGTGGGTGCCTGTTCTGGCGGTGGTATTGATGTCCTCATCATGTGAGGAGGGGTCTGATCCCGCAGGAAGCTTTGGCCACTGTTGTCTGGATGGATGGAGATGAGGGGGGGTGTTTAGGAGTGCCAGTGCTTGTGATGGGGTGTTGCATGGATGGTTACTCATCTAGTGCCTAACAAGAGGTGTCACCAAGGTAGAACGATTTCTGAAAAAAAAGTCAGAAATGGCAAAGTTGGAATGGCTTCTTGATTTGTGCTAATCTGAAGACAGCATCAAAGTATTGCTTTTTAAATAGATACTTGAGTAGTGTAGCAAACCTCAGGAATAAGGTGACTGTAGAATGTAGAAATAAGTAGCATTAGAGACCACTTTCTTTTTCAGCCACTGTCACCTGCAGCACGATCTCCCAAATACTTCAAAGTGTACGTAATTTTGGACAAGGCTTTGGTAAGTCCGTGCCAGTCATCTCGTCCTTGTGTTTGCCTGACTTTTATGAGCATAGAAATGGTGCCATTTCCCAGCTTTTATATATATTTGTTTTCCCTTTTGAAAAGTTACGTGGACTGTGGATTTTGTAGGAAAAAAAGAATGAAAATTTGTAGCTCACCTTTACATGATGGGATGTTGGCAACCATTTCAGCCTTTCAACATTGTTCTGCTTCATTGTGGTAAACACCTTGTCTGCTCTTACATCCTCTTGGGTTATTTTTCAGTACAACTATATGGGTTCAGACACAAATGCTGCAACGCAGAAGATAATCCAGGTCTTCAATTTAGTCAACAGTGTAAGTTTTAAAGTCTGGTTTGCATTGTAGTAAGATGATGGGTGGATTTGATGTTAGTAATGGCCACTTATTTCCTGGCTGCTTTGGGTTTTAGGAGGAGGTTATGTAAAAAAAAAAACTGGCGATCTTCTGGCTGTGGTGGCTGGGCATGGTCTGGCAGTGGCTCTCAGCTTCTCGGGAGCCTGGTCTAAATTTGATCAGAGGTGGGCGAGAGGTTTAGTCCTAGTGGGCTAATACAAAGGTTTGGGTTAGCAACTGTGAAAATATGGTCTTTTAAAGCTGTAACGGCACTAGCAGCGTGGTCTGTGCTAGAGTTATGGTTAGCTGCTTGGGGTGAGCCTTGACCTGCGACAAGTCGGTATCGAGGCAAGTTCTGGTTAGCAGAATGGAGTAGGAATTTGCAGAACCTGCCCACCGGCCCGCCCATTTCCATTTCACAGTGCGACTGCACCAGGAGCGTGGAGTAAGCTGTCTGACATTTATAGCCTGTGAAGTGTTTCACCAGGAGGTTTTCTCTAAACGCATCAATCTGCTACAAATTGGCATCTTTCCATATGTGGTGGCAATGTCTCATGCAGATGTACCAAAATGCAGCCAAAGTCCGTTGTTTTAAGGCTTCCTAGATTGTTCCCCACTCTGGGCTGCAGATCTCGCCTCACTGATCAGCCACGCAATTAATTCGTTTCCACTCAGGTGTTTGTAGGCAACTTCTGATCCTGTTCTTCACTCCACTGGTGCTGTTACCATTCACGTGTATGATGACCAAGTTATTAACAAAAACCTTAAAACCTTTCTATGAAGTTATTAGGCTTTGTTCTCATGCCTCGTGGTGTATCTTTCTATTTTTTAGATTTGTTCGTTCTATTTGTCATACAGATGTCATTCAGTGACTGACAATAACAATTGGCTTTTCCTGCCTGATGTATTGTGTATAGAGCTGTAATTCAGCTCCGAAAGAAAGGTATGTGAGCAGGCATTTCCTCTGTTACGCTTTCAGATGTTTAATCCTCTTAATGTTACCATTGTGCTGTCCTCCCTGGAGCTGTGGATAGAGGAGAATAAAATATCGACAGCAGGGGAAGCGGATGACCTTCTACAGCGATTTTTACAGTGGAAACAGTCCTCTCTCGCTCGGCGGTCATATGACATAGCTTATCTATTAGTGTAAGATAAAGGTTTCCTTACTCATTAAAGGTTACATAGTAGAAATCAGTTAAACCAATGTAGGTTGAACTATAAAGATTCCCATGAAAAATGTCTTTTTTTTTTTTTTTTTTTTTTTTAAAAGAAACATATTTCTTACATATTGCCTAATTCCTTAATATTCTGGAAGTATTTCTTTCAAAGACATACCTTTCAGTGACAGTGTAGTGTATCCGGCAGCCCGTGGCTGAGGAGAGGCTCCGCTGCAGCCCCGGTCCCTGCCTGGCACTAGCACTGGCACTGGCCACCATGCAGACCCTGCCAGCACCTCCCCAGGGCTGGTGGGGGACAGCAGAGAAGAGGACCAAGGGGGCAGTCAGGCTGTACAGACCCGGGATCCTCCACTTACCCACAGTGACCGGAGTGTCCCGGCCGTTGAATGTGCATGTGTTTCAGGTACAGGGACCAACCAACGTTTGTGGGAGCAACCGCACCGGGG